CTCAATCGAAAAGTGTTGCATTTCAGCTGGTTTTAGAGCATCTTGAGGTTCTTTCTAGGGAAAACCATTGGACCGTAGAGGTTTGTCTTTTTTCCTCAAATAGCACCTCTTGTGAGGAAATGGTTGACCCCTGCTAATCAATATTTTACAATAATTTCTCGTCGTGTCACTCCCTATCTTCCAAGCTGACAATGACAAGCATGTAGAGTGTGTATGTGTGTGAGGCTTGAGTTAAAGTGAATTCGTCAGCAGGACCATAACGTTTCTCAACACCATCTCGCTCCCTGTCAGGCTTCGAGAAAGTGGAACTCAAATCCGGCGGAGCAAGAGTCAGTTTAGGTCGAGCGGAATATGTTGCAAATGGTGTTAAAAGCATGTACTCCATGGCTACCCTCGTCAAAAATTGATGGGGGAAAAAGCTCACTAAAACTGATCCATGTTTCCTCTTCGATCCCTCCCTGGTGGAAAAGATCATGAATAAATAACACAGATCAAACTGCAGTGTTAGCGCAGATCAAGTATTTGTAAAGAACCTGAAAGGACTGTATACAAGAGGGGCCCTATGAGATCATGTAGATGTACCTTGCATGTTCTCTGTTCCTGTCACATCACATTTAGATCACAGCAAAATCCCACAAGGCAAAAGAAAAAAATCCTGATGAATTAGTTATTTTAAACCAAGCCTGTCTTGAGACCAAATTTTTCAAAACAATGTAAAAAAACTATTGGAGACAGAGTTTACCTTGTACTTTTCAGAAAATAAAGCAGCATGGTATAAGGCTCAGTCATCCAGAAGACATACTTAGCTGTCATTAGTCAACTGAGCTCACTCAATAGTAGATAACTTTGAAGATTTAACTTTAAAAGGTTGGTACTGAACCGATATGGCCTAATTGACGTTCAGGACCTGGCATGCGCTAAACTTTACCATAAGACGCATTTTAAGCGGCAAGTAGGTGATTGACCCTGATCTAAATTCAGATGTATACTAAGAAATACTCCAGCTGCTATTCGGAACCCCTATGATCACATGCTGAAAATTTTATGCATGCTAACATTTCAGTGTTGCTCTCAGATAATGCATAAGGCAATTAGATGTAGTTGCACCCCGTATGAATGCACCAATGCAATGGAGAGATTATTCACACTTTGTGGTGGATTGTTATTGTTCACACCCCAGTGTGAAGTGTAATTCTGGTTTTGTTGGTCTAGATATGGTTGAAACCAGATATTTATATACACCAAATAAAAAGACTAGCACTTTTTTTTCCTCTCTGACTGAAGTTAAATCAGACCAAACTTTTTTTTTTGTAATTATCCAAATTAAATCTCTTTGCTAAATGCCAGAAATTTTTTTTTGAGAATTTTTTGTAACTGCATTTGAATTCAGAAGTTTACATGCATTTGGTCCATAACAGGGATAATCGTCTTTTAAATTAAATTTAAACCTTTTGGGTTTTTATTTGAGTTCTGGTCCATTCCTCTTGACAGAACTACCATAAGTCAGTCCGGTTTAGGCTGTCACACACACCTTTTCAGATCAAACCACAACTTCTCCTTTGGATTGAAATCAGGGATTAAGATGACAATGCCAACTTTCTTGTCTTTAAGCCACTTTGTAGCAGCTCTGGCTGCTTGCTTAGAGCCATTGTCCATTTGGAAGACCAATATGTACCCAAGCTTTAATTTCCTGCCTGATGTCTTTAAATGTTGCTTTAATATTTCTACATAGTATTCTCACCTTGGGACGCCTTATATTGAAGTGCAACAGTCCTGCAGAATGTACTCTAAATTTGCAGTCTACAAGGGCAAATTTGAATGCTGATTAATTTGAAAAACTAATTGAGGTGCTGAACTCTGAAGTGAGCTTGGATTTTTATGAAGCACATTGATGATATATGACAAACCTTGAACTTGGATAGCTTGAGCTTGGAAATGGCTTTCTATAATCATGCACCTTTACATTTCTCATATCTCACTATTTTCTTAGCATTTTTAACATGTAATAAATAATAATAATGCTTAAAAAGGGAGTGTGACCAAAAAGTTGCACACTTAAAAACATTTTGATAATGTGGTTTTCTGGGAATGGCCCAGTGTCCTCCTGCACACCCGTTTACATCTATAACAGACTGCTTACACACACAATTATAACTGTATGAATTTCCAGCAAACTTTATTTTCCCATACAGTTTTCTGCTCGGAGTATTTTGGCAACTTTATTTAGAAGTTTTTTTTTTTTTTAATGAATTGCATTTATAGTCATTCAAAGGGCAAAACATCTGACAACCTAGGCCAGACAAACCAGCTGTTCCATCCCTGTCACAGATCAGTTTGAACAGCTTTTGTTCTAAGATTTTCTTCGTCAGCAAAACTGGAAGATGAATATGGGAATCCCAGGTGTAATTCAATGAAGGGTGTCACAAGGATCCAAATCACAGTAATGGATTCTGCTAAGGTAGCGTCTTGGTCAGCTTACAAGACCTGTACGTTAAATTATAGAAATAGTGTGCACATCTTTGTTTTACCTTCCTTCCTTCTTTGCTTCCTTCTTTTCTTTCTCTCTTTTCAATCAAAGGCTTATGAAACAGCGTGATTAACAATAAGTATCATCTGTGATTATATATAAGTCCATCTGGGCATCGTTGAGCCACGTTCTGACCTTTTCTTGGAAAACATTAAAGCATATTTAACAAGTGATTCAGACGTGCTTGTTCAAGTCGCAACAAAATAAACCAAACTTACCAGCATAATGTTGTTTCAGCCCAAATCTTCTGTCACTCGTGACCTGTTTTCTATCAAAATAGCAGTCGCTGTTCAAATAAACCTAGCACACAAGTTCAGACATGGTGTTGCTCACATTCACAGGCAAGAACCATTTTCATGAAGATTGATGTTTCATTTTTTTTCTTTTAAGTAATTTAATATCTGATAAGTATTTTTAGAGATTAGAAATTTAGCAAGTCAATAAGAAATATGAGGATTTTCTCTTTGTTTTTTTCTATTTAAAATCAAAACATAAGGGCAGAAAGCATGAAGAGAGGACCTTTAGGTTTTGTCCAGTAGCATTTGAACTTGCAGTTGGGAGCCAGTGAAGACTACTGGTTAAATAACACATACAGCAATCTCAGCAGGTTGCTCAACCTTAGTTTCAGGCCATTGTGAAAACATAATACTACCGAGCATACGCCCACTCTGTCACTTAAACGCATGTGTCCGCCAAAAGAAACAGACATGGCTGCATAAACAAACACGCACGTGCAATTCACACACACAGCATAACTCCAAGCACACATTCACACATAAACTATTTATACACAAAGAGAGAGCTGTTAAGAGCATTTTCACTTGGATCAGCGCACTTAAGGGTGAAGTGTGCATGTTGAATCCAGCGTCCATATGGTGCATCAGAGAGCAGCTGGATATTTGGATAAGAATAGATTCGCATGAGTCCAGAATAGCACATTTTTACTTCACATCTGTTTACTTTAAAAGTGTATCTCTTGCATTTTTACACATCACTTGGTGACTTCATCACGTCCCTTGAGGCACAGAATACACAAGTAAGTCAGAACACTCAACAGGATTTCTCTCTGCACGCAAGCAGCAACTGGTAAGGGAGGGTCTGCACTTGACCACAAACGTGTGGTCTTATCTGGACTGGGTATATCTGAAGACTCCTAACAAAACATTCAAGTCAAGCAAAGTCAGGAGTAATTGCTGTAATAACTATAATTACAACAGAGAGGCAAACAAAATGAAATATTGTCTTTTTTGTTGTCATTTTGGTCTCTCAGTGAGAGTAACATAGCTTGGCGGCACGTACCCATAGCCACAATGTACTGTGGAACATTTCCAGGAAATTACACACTACATTCATCCAGGGAAGGTTAGAGTATTTTGTCAATAACTCCAGCAGCAACAGTAAGAAAAACATGAATGAAGTCTTGCATTTAGAGCTCAGTACATGCATTTTACTAACAAGTGCTGCACACTAGAACTTGTTAGTATGTTGCTACTGAATGACAAACAAAATGCAAGTCACAACACAACAAGAAAAAGTTATGCTAAAATGGAAACTTATAGCAAGTTTATTGTTTGGTTTAAATATTCTTTGTGGCCTTTGCTGTTGTGTTGTGACATTTGTATTCGGTTGACTCTCCTGGGCCACCGTAAAGTTAAAAATTACATATGCAAATAAAGACCCATATTTTCATGTTAAAACTCAACCTTTCTCTACCAAATTTATAGTGTCAATCAGGAGCAAAAATAACACTTGATGGATTTTTTAGGTTTTTCACTGAGCAGAAGAAAGACATTAATGATAAATAAGAATTGCCAAGGTGAGCCATGTAACACCTAGAAATATCCAAATCTCACAGCTAAATGCATGAATCATTTGTGACAAGAATTTGTAATAGTGGTTATAAATTATATAAAGTGGGAACATTTTTCAGCATTTTTTTTATATGTAATGTTCAGAGTCAGTAGATTCAAGTCAGGGGTGCCTTGACCTTTGAATACCTGTGTTATCTTTGAGTTTTTGCAACCCAATTATTCAGATTCCGGTGTTTCTTTAGGAGTGGTCTTATTTCAGTGAGATGCAGTTCCCTTAAAAAGCATTAACCCCCTCAGATGTTCTACCCTTTCATAGACTTTACAAAATTTAATTCAAAGTAAAAACTGTTTCCTTCAAAATAATGACAAATAAATAAAAATATGTATATTTTATAGGATGGTATGTATTTCCAAACACTTAGGCATCTTAAATCACAACCAAGTTACTATGTTACTGCGAGTTTTTATTGAAATGCTACATGTTTCAAAACATATCTTAAACCTAAATTAGAAAATAGAAAATGCTTGAGTTTGGTTGTCTTTAAAAAACTTAAAATATTAGTAAACAATTAAATCATAACTTGCTGTAAATAGCTGCACCTTTTGTAAGATAGTATAGTAATCACTGATCACAATGAAGCCTCTTTCATGAACAGTCTGTTTTTATTGTCTTACAAATATTAAGTTATCCACAAAAATAAAATAACTTAGATAATAACCATATTAAAACAGAAAAATACAAACATACATTACATTTAACACTTAAAATACATAATGCTGACATCTTTCAAAGTTCTGCTGGACACTGTTCAGTATGTGCAAACTACTTATCAGTTATACTGGTTACACAATCCCAGATTTCCATTTTCTGTTTTAAACACAGAAAATAAATTGCTTTAAATAAATTACACCATCTGATAAGTAGCTTACTTAAACTGTTCCTTATATATACTTTGCAGCTGACATCAGAATATCCTTATAGTACACATTGATAATTTGTGAAGCAAGTGAATGTACATACAAGAAGCTTACAGTGTTGCACACAAGACACTGTGTCACAAGACGGGAAAGACTTTGCCTGATCTCACTTAAGAATGTTTGTAGTGTGTGTGCAACTGGAGCTTGTTCATGTGCACTCAATTTCTTGACACATTTGAACATTATTGATGGCATTTGTGCAGCATTACTCATTTTTTATTTACAGTGCTGTTTAGATCACGTCAAAGATAAAATGTGGACTTGTTGGGCTTACTGTGCATTCTGACCATCTTCGTACATCACGTATCACATCACACAGATCACACATGACACACTGGAAACTGAGAATTGCATATCAGTGCTGTGTTATTTGGTGGTCTGAAAACAGTGGCACAATCTTGTGTCTGTGGTTATCGTTAAGTGGTTCCACACACTTAGTGTTTAGAAGTGGTATTTGCAAGTTAATTTTATTTCTTCCCTTTGAAGAAGGTGAAGGTGTGCCATGAGGAATCCCATAAAGCAACAGCACCAACATGCAGCTTCAGATCTGTCTTTTGGTTGACTTTACCTTCAACCTGTCAGCTGTCATGGCTGCAGACACATAAAAAGCTCAGTCCATTCTGGAAGTTGATTTTAGACCTATATCTTCTCTTTCCTTACAATAACTAGAACACATGTTCTCTGAGGGATGTCATAGTTGTCTTCAGGGTTATACTTTATTACACACAACACAACATTTATGGGAGGATTTACAAAGTATCAGTTAAACCTGCTCTGTCTTATGTGCAACATGACAGCTGCTATAAATAAATATTGAAACTCCTTAACTGCCCTTAAAGAAGGCACAAAATCTGCAAGTGCTGAAATATTATTTGTTGTTTTGAAATAAATCTGTTAAATTTCTACACTTGTGTGTATAGATAGTGGTCAAGCGACATCAAAATGGCTGGATTCAAGCAATGTCATCAGTTGCTGATTGAACTGCTCAGTGTATGAATTGTTTAAAATATACAAAGCAAATCAGAATTTCAAATAGATCTTATACCAATAAAGCTAAGAAGAAATTTTACTTTCTTTCTGAAGCAGTCCTCTTTGCTTAGACTATGTTCCATAGTCTCCAAAGAGGGGTGGTGTGTGGCAGCTTCAGGCACCTCCTGCATGTGCACGCTCTACACCGACCAACACAGGTTTCCGTTTGCCGCATCAAATGCATCACACTGTCCTTCCATTACTTCTCTGCAACAAAAAAACTGCAGTCCATGACAAAAAACATTGGGGCATTTGTCTGTCTTTTAATTCTTATGTCTGGTGACTTTTAGTGTGTTTTTCTTCATTTGCAAACGCTGACCCACTCTGTTATCCTGCACTCTTCACAGACCACATAGCAGCACCAGTGAAACTTGCAGTTGCAGCGTTCGCTACGCGTCTGCTGCAGAATGTTGTGCCCCCTCCCACAGCACAGGCTCTCACAGTTGTCCATCCCTGGGCTAGTCTTGTTGCAGATCCGGCCCTGTGTGCCCGCCGAGTCTGAGCTCAGGTCCCGGTCACAGAAATCAGGCGACTTCTCAAAATACACTAGCTCCCCGATGTTAAGCCGCCGGCGATGTGATTGGTGGTTCTCTCGATGACTGTGATGGTGGTTGTGGTTATTGTGGTTGTTATGGTTCGAGTGGTCCAGCTGGCCATTATTCCTGTTTTGAGCCTTGATAAGGGTGGCAATGTGGAAACGCTCTTTTAGGATTGAACCCACCAGCCGAAACTCTGGAGTGACCTGCCAGCAAGTCTTGAGCTGGCAGCTCCCTGACGTCCCGTGGCACTTGCATTTCCTTCTCATGTTGTCGAGTACCACCTGGAAGACAACAAAGGACGACAGGAAGAGGAATTGGGGAGGAGGGAGAGAGAGAGGAAATGATGTTAGGTGAGGGATAGGAAGAACATGAATAAAGCTGATTAATTATTTTCTTTAATGTGTTTGGCTTTTAAAGTTTTAGACCCTAGTAAATAAATGAAAATGCTTTTTATTGGAGGCTTATATGACAGAGCAATGCAAAGCTGCACATGATTATCAGGTGATATAACAAATATACTGGATGTTCATTTTGCAAATACAAATTTGGGACAGGTAGCAATAATTTTCATCCTGATACTCCTGAATAAAATTAATGTTTACCAAATTGTCACCTACTTAGTAAATAAGTCCGACTGTGTCTAACTTATTTTCTGTATAAATAGGCTGTACGTGATATTTGAATACCTGACACATTGCAAATAATATACCTCGGGATGAAATTTAGGAGAATATTAAAGCTGAGTTAGGTCAGAAACCATACATCCAGGCTTGAACATTCACAGAGCACTTTTCAGTCCAGCAATGGAAAGAGTATGGCACCACTGTAAATCTACAAAGGCACGATTGCCTTCCCCAACTTCAATTTAAATTAGGAAAGCATGAATCAGAGAAGTGTTCCTGCTGCCCATGGTAACTCTGGAGAAGCTGCAGAGATTTATGGGTCAGCTGGAAGAATCTGTTGACGATTACTCATGCACTCCACAAATCTGATTTTATGAAACACTGGCAAGAAGATGACTGTTGATAAAAATAAGCCACAAGATGTTCAGATTGCCACAAGCCATGTAGGTCACAAAGCAAAAATGTGGAAGCAGGTGTTCTGGTCAGATATGACCAATACTTAACTTTCTGGAGAACAAAACACTTTGCATGGCAGGAAACTAAGTATGTAACATATTTACTGGTCTTAGTATACATAAGAATAGAGTACATTGCCCTGGACGTAGGGAACTGAATTGATTAATGGAGATAAATAAATTGTAATCTTGAAAGAAATATTGTTTTCCACAACCCATGTAAAGGACAAGATGCATTAAAGAATGTGCAGATGAATCATAGCTGAACATCATCATTATCGGACTGTGAATATCATCATGAATTGCATCCTCATAGAAAAATGCTTACGCTTCATTGTTTCTGATATTCATTCAAAACTTGAAAGAAAAACATGCCTAATTTTTGTAACAATAAAAAAATACATTAAAGGTTATAATAGTAAAATCAGAAAATGTGAAAAAGTTCAACAGGCATACATACTTTTGCAAAGCACTGTATGAGTTGTGTTTTTTTTTTCTCCAAGATCCTATGTATGCTTAATGCCTTAGAAACCATTACACAAATAGACAGCTCCCCAGTAGGAAATCCAGGTGGTCTGACTCTGAGTATGTGGTTAAACCTACTGATATCAAATAACACGGTAGATGCAGGTATTACCCAAACAGACATCACTGTCATTATTCATCGTTTGGCATGAAGTAATGACTCCAAGGATGACCCTCATGTAACAGCATTGCACGCATAAGGGCTTTGTGGTATTTACATATTTTCACTTTAATAGTTTAAGAGGACACCGGACGCAGTCAGTGTTCATCATAAATGTGCAAAAGGCTCTGATAATGCTGGTTAAACTACACTTTGACACACAAACAAACTATCAGGATGTTTGAAAATAATTTTAGGTGACTCCACTCAGGATCTTGATACATAAATATAACCTCATTCATTTCATTTGGTGCACAGACATAAACAGAAACAAGTCCTACATGAGCCATGTCCATTTTCGTAATGTGTGCATATATGTGTGTTGGTGGGTGTTTATCAGTCAGCACCAGTCCAAAACTTTAAGATCCAATTACCAACAGGAACACTAGGCCACCCAGAGTACTGACAGATGCTACTGCTGCCGCCCCTATCAACACACACATACACACACACGCAAACACACACACACGCCGGGCACTAAAGATATTGAAAGCAACAAAGCTCAGAGGCTTGTAGAGAAGTACTGCCCTTGCCTGTCTATGAACTATTGATGCATTTTCATTTTCCCTCTCATTGTGCCAAAAACAAAATTTTGCAAAGTTCTGCATGTTCCCAACAAATGTGCTAGATGTTCTTCTTGATAACAAATGGCTTGCAGCAATATCAGAAGCAGGCATAGCCATGAAGTACAAAATACACCCTTTCACGATGATAATTTATGAATAAGCATGCAGTTCCTCATGAAGCGACTTCAAAGAAAGTGGGAGAAAGTCACTTATTTAATAACTAACCTACTTAAAGTTTACTATGGCAATTTTTTTTTTATATTTTTAGTATAATTACGCCACTAGTTTCTTTGGTTTTACCTGCTGTTTTATTCACTGTTAGAATAAACCATTCAAATTTGCTGCTTAGGTTTCTGAGTCAGGGCACACTAGCAGATCTTCACAAAGTGTCAGTCAAAAAACTTAAAACTTAAATGACATTTATAGCTAAATTGTGGTTCGTATTTTTTTTATTTCACCATCAGTTCAATTATTTAGTGTGGCTCTCAGAAGTGCGCATACTGGTCCTACGATGGCAAATTTTGGCAAGTAAAACTTTCTCAAAATTGTTTGCTTACATGATTTATATATATATATCAACTGAAAAATATGAATAATTTTTAGAAAAGAAATAGAAAAAAAACAATAAGTAATAATAAGTAGTGACCTGGTTGCATATATGTCCACATCCTTAAAGTGATGCGCTGTTGAAGCATGGTTTGATTCCGGTTAGGTTGTTTTTCTTTTCTTGATGTTATTCTTGTCTTTAATCTTACTGAACTGGATTTATTCGTGTATCTCATTGTACTGGATGGGTTCTACATGTAACAGACTCAGTAATAAAGAGAGGGGATTAACTAAGAAATTCTAAAGTTTTAAAGACAGAATCCAGTCCTGGTTAAAATCTCCAAGAACTTAGTTGACAATGATGTAGCACATCGCCAAAAGAACATCTCTTCCACAGTGAAGCACAGCAGTCGCACCATCATGCTGTGGAATAAATTTTCTTTCAATAAAATCAGATATTTTAGACCAGGATGATATACCAAATAGATATAAACACAGACTAACAGTTTTGACCCAAAACCTTCAGGTGTGTTATAAAGTTGTAGATATAAGACTCGATAGCTCCTATTTCACTATAGCAGAAGCTGTCAGGCATAATGATTTGCTGCTGTGGCTGATTTACATCAGAGATTCAACAATGAGTGTACCTCATGTTTCCGGTGTGAATTAGCTCAATGTAAAGCTCATATTTCAACAAGTTTAACAGGCGGATGAAGGAAAAGAGATGCTCTCTTATCTGGGCAAATGAGGACAAGAATCAGATTACGATCACAGCAGCCATCACAAAGAAAGATTTTTCCTCCAAGATGTTGAAAACTGTTTGATCTCTGTTGTCAAAATTTGTTTGTTGCGGTTGGTGCATCACTTGCACTAGCAACCAAAAACCACTGATTCACGCTCATGAGGAGGAATTTTCTTTTGGAGGAGATTTTGTCAAAGCAGTCAAATAATCCTGCACCCAATTTAATCAGGTGCAAAATATGTTTATTTTGATTGTACAGAATACATTGCATTAAAGATTGAAAAAAGTTAAATCATGTTGTATTTTTAAGTCCCAATAATCTGACATGTTAAGATTGTTTTTTACACTTTCAAGATCCAGTTGATCAATTCAGTTTAAGTCAAAAATACTTCATTATTCCTGTGGAAAATTAAATATTGTCATGTCATCCAAGAATAAGTTATGCAAACGAATAGATTTTAAAAATACAGCATTTTCTTGTAGAGTGAATGCTGTAATGATCATTTAAAAGATGGCAAAATGTTTTTGTATCATTGCATGATTTGGTTACAGTTTGTTGAGATAAAAAAAAATAACACACAATTGCACTTTTTGTGTCAACAATGTTGTACTGATTTAGAGGTTTGAAAGGAAAGTTTAAAGGAGTTGTGATCAGTAGAGAGTGGATAATAAAGGCTGTAAAATTTTAGGATAAACAACAGTAAAACAGTTCAAACAGCACTTGCACTGAGTTTAGAGAGCAGCTTTGCAAGTTTTTAGAAAGAGTCAGAGGCAACCCCAGAATCACAAACGTCCGGGCCTTAAACACAGAGCAAAGTCTGTAATCATGAAACGCTCCAGCCCACTTAAACCTTAGAGAGACAAACTGACCTAGGAGTCATAATTGCATCCACATTGCTACTGTTTGATGACGGGTCATTCACAGCGGGATAGGGGGTTCAAAGAAGAGTAGAACTGGAAAAAGGAGCTTCTGTGCGGTGTTATTTTAATGGTATTCAGATCTTTCATACATAAGACAAAAAATGTATTTCTTGTTTTTTTTTATAACAAGGTTGAGAAAGTATTTTTTTTTTGTGTGTCTAATCAACAGATTTAAAGCTCCAAGTCATATTTTCAGAAAGATGTATTCAGAGAAAAGATGGGAAACTACTTTATGATGGACAATTCAAATAAAAAGTGAAATACTCCCTGGACTGCAGCCCCTTTACCAATACACAATCCTTTCTGGTGGTACAATTCTGGCTGGAATAACTTGGCGCAGAGCTACTTCAACTACTTTTGACTGGTATTTGCAAAGCAGTCTATCCAGGAGCTGCATTTATTTTTCTTGATGCTGATTGGCGGTAGTCCCCAACAAAGAAAATAAGGAAGACTGTAGATAACCCCTGCAGAGATGGTTTTCACTGTGTGTATTAATGCATGTTGATCTATTTTTGGTGCTTGAACTACAAAGTTAAATAGGTATAAGCATTTTCAGAGGGGGTCTCAAGAGTCTCGTATTTCACTGTGCATAAACTGTTCTCCAGGCTGCCACAGGCTTTTTGGGCCTGCCAAAAAAACTGAGACATTATACATTAGACAGATGCACCACAGCAACAAATTTCACAATGAATTGCAAAGCAATGTTACCCGATCTGAAACCATGTAATACAAACTCTCTGCAT